TTTAATACTAAGACGAACTAATATATATAGTATATATAATAATATATAATAATATGTGTATATATATTATATATATATATATATAGTGTGTGTGTGTGTGTGTGTGTGTGTGTGTGTGTGTGTGTGTGTGTGTGTGTGTGAGTGTTATGTGTATATATACCAACATAGCTAACAATAAAAATCTGATCTGCAGTCATTTGTCAGCAAATAAAGCTCTGTTTCAGAACAAAAGGATAATTCTTTCAGCGCATGTACTGATAGTTCCTAGCGCTACGAGGTCAAGTAATAATATGACAGATTTGCACAGCTTGCTGAGTATACGCCAAGCTTTGCAATCAGATTCGTGTACATTTTGACTTTGTCAGCAATACAAAACAATTCCCCCTGATGCCACGTGACTCCGATCGGATAGAGAATACGCAAAGTCCTGATTTCCAACTATTGGATATGCGTGAGTCATGGTACCATATAATCCGCATAACCGCATGTGTATTCATATAGGTGAACACATAATCCTCAATTACAACTCAGCCATGTCATTGATAAGTACTTCATAGCACGTTATCACCAAAGCGACTTGAACATCTGATACAATATATTCTGGTGCAAACCACCGTACAAGCACGTTACACGGGCAACGCTCCTTGATAATTGTGAATTTAGTAAAAGAGAAGACTCTTATGTCAGTGGTATCAATGACTTGCCGATTACGGGTAGTAAACATGTTGATCTATGCCGTAGTACCTCTAAGCAACGCATATAGATGGACCTCATGCGAACAACATAACAAAACAACCAGAAAACCATGTACAGAGAAACAGATCACCAAGTTGATACACATATTAGATAAATGGACCACAACATCGACATGGTAAGCTTACCTGCCGGTCTATAGATTCGCCATTTTGTGACATAGTATTTTTGAAGTATGTGTAAGTGTGTTTCAGCTGGCACGTCAGCTTACAGAATACACGCCCAGAGAAAATTGAAACCTGGCCGGAAATTTTGCTCAGTGATCACAGATTTCACAGTCCATCGGCATCCATTGTAAATACGCAAAAATATATAATTGGGTAGAATATAAATAATTGGGCAGTCTCAAATTTAAAAATTCGGGAAAGGATATGTAGAAGATCTATTTTTTAAGAACAAAATTATGTCGTAAACTATGTAATATGTGATTTGTCGGAACTATATTGACCTTCTGGATATACGTGACCTAAATTTCAACCTACTTTTTTGTCCATTTTTAAAGTTTCATACAGTTCAGACGAGCAAATTTAGGACGATGGGTGCGAATCTCGAAAATGAAAACACTATTTACTGTTGGCAAATCTGATAATTTTTTTAATAAAATTCAACACTCACTGTAAAAAGCTCTATGATTATACACCCTTTTTTTTTTCAATATAAACTGGGGCTGTAGTTTATTTGAAACCCTTTTTGGAAATTACAATATTGGAAAAAAATTAGCAGTTGCCATGAAGTTCATCATGAAGACTCTTGTGCTGGACTACTGAGTTGCTGTCTTGAACTCGTGTGACCTAGTGACAGCCATTGGCGAAACCTCGTGGCAAACTTTTATTTTGCAATTACGCAGGGTACGTTTTGAACGTTCAAAGCAATCCCCAGGGGTTCCATTCTTGAAATACCTACAGTCTGTCCTCATATATGTAATTTGGGAAATCCGTTGACATTGAGTAATTTTGATTATTTGAGACAAAGAAATTAGAATATCTACTCTAAAAATGTATTTATTTATTTGCGCGCGTGTGTTTAAAACTCACTCTTTCTCTCTCGAGAGAGTGTGTGTGACTGTGTGTAAAACTATAAATACTTTTTTTTTAAATAGAATAACTGTCGGCCTACGTGAGGCGAGATATCAAACCCCTCCCCCCCCTGAAGAAAATCGATAAAATAAAAACAAACACAAAACGAAAATGAAACTCACGGGGCGGGGGTCCCCCGCGACTTCGAGTCCATGTGAGAGTTGAGAGTCTCTGAAAGAGTGAGAAATGGTTTTAATATATACACCCAACCAAATCGATTTATTTTGGCTTGTTTTCTATTCATACATTCCCACCTCCCACATTTTTAAAAAACAATCGGGAGCCAAGTCTCTAACAAACCTGAGTTGTTCATTATTGAATATGCTACATTTTTTATTTCGATGTATTTTATTTTCAAGCCGATGTACTTTATTTACTATATTTTTTTAAATAGAAAACAATTACGTCATTTTTTTTACATCCAATCGAAAATTATTTTTTCTCGCCCACAATGGGGATCGAAGGGTTCTCCCGCGCCCTCACGACAGGGCAGATGGATTCACGTCTCGGAGGTGACGGACGAGAGAGAGACAAAACTACATCGACTCGAAGATGCAGGGGTTATTCGACGCTGCCAGGAATTGGAGGCTTACCTGATTTACCTGGCATCCGTTATCCCCAAATCGAATAAAATCAGAGTACGCTTGATTCTGAGTCCAACAAAAGTCAATCAACACGCGGAGACACCATGTTTTTGAGTAGAAGGGTTAGAGAAACTATCGGAGGTAGCCCGACCGGGCTGGGTAACTGTGTCTGCAGAAATAAAAGAAGGATTTTATGAAAAGGGTGTGGTAGAGTCAAATAACTGGCAGTTCCGATACAACAAGGGGCGGCTGTGGTGTTTTTTGGTGCTGCCAAAAAGAGCGACATTCGACCAATACTGGTTCGACCGACTGATGAATACGTTGCGAAATTTGACAGGAACAAGTCAGTGATATAAATTATACTCTACGTGAACGATATACTGTTTGTAGGACTACGCAAGCATATAATGAAATACAAGCGATTCATAGACCGCCTATTGCATAGCTCTCTAAGTCTGCAACTGACCCCTGACAAAGAATATTGGATGTAGTAAATTAGAGTGTAAACTAAACCACCCAGCCTAGTACCAGGTTGAGGTTGGTTGGTTCAATTATTTATCTAATTTACTGCAAAATTGGAAAACGTAGCCGGTATCTCGATCTCAGTCCATACGATCCGCTCCTGAATAAACTTCTCTGAACCTTCTACGCTAGAATCACCACATTCCTTGCTGGGCAATAGTGCTATGCAAACACAGACTTTATGTTCACATTTAAAAAAAAATCGTTTATCGTGGTAACAAAAAATGCATAATTTATTGATTTTGTTGGCTTAGCTTGTAAAGAACGTTGTAACGTAATGAACAAAGTAGTCCTGTAAATTGAAAATGTGGCTTAAACCGAGAAACGCTCAGTAAGGAGTGTCACGTCTAAAGTTCACGAGAGTTCTAGGTAAGAAGCACTATCTGTAGTTGTAATGTAGAGTTTGTTGCTTGTGATATACTTTGTAATTAATTTTCAGATATTGTGAATCATCTGTTCAACCGGACAGAAAACAAACGTCGAAAAAGTTGTACTCAGCGGACCGCAACAGTGGCACCGTTAATGATTTGCCCTATGGCAGATTCCAATGACTGATGCGTCACCATCATCAACGTCATCTGTCCCGTATGTTTATTCATTTCCTTTGAAATATTGAATCGACACTGACAAGGGAAGTAATTGAAATTCTTCTTATCGTGTGATATCGTGTGCTGGAACGAATATTCGTTCACAGGAAAAAGGCAAGACGCACTACTAGATGTATTGTGAAACTTATACCGCAAAGGTAACAAGCGATTGATTTGCAAGAATATCAAAGGGAATCATATGTATATAAATTTATTAGGCATTATGAAGAAAAAAATGAGGAAAGTTTTTCTCTTGATGCCCTCACCTGATTTTGCCGGTATGTCATCGAATTGGCAAAGAACATTTTCAACATGTATTTCTCACAGATTAAGCTGATGCAAAGCTGACTCCATAGGTTATTTGATAATTTGCCCTGTCACCGCCCTGTCAAAAATAGCATTACGTTTATCACAGACGCTGATAACAATCCGACAAATATACATACAGAAACCTCGCCACTGAGTTATGTTGACACAGAAATCAGTGACAGTACTTTTTTCAGGCTGTATGTTAATGTAAGGGCCGTATTTATTTGAGTAACGTGAAGACTAAATTCACATTCACGGCCATAAAGCTTGTACTTGTTGACGAAAACATGTACGTTACTGGGAGACAGGCTCTTCTTCTACCAGTGCAGACAATGAATAGACAACCAGTCAAATGAGCACAACAGCCAGTAACATCGCCGACAGTGACTTTGCTTAAAGGTGTGTTTATATATTTGAGAATGATTGTCATTTTTTGTAAGATAAAACTTGGAAAAGTCTTCATTGATTTTCAATTACCCAATGCACTGCCAGGGGAATTAGAACATCGAACATATCAGGGCAAAATCCATGCTTTTTGAGGGGGGAAACGGGCTGGAAACCGAAATGTAGTCCTAGTAGCCAAACAAACTAAGAAGCTTTACAATGTCTAAAGTGATAATGACTAGTAAAAATACGTTGTATGGATCTACGTTGTTGAGAAAGATACTACTACCTTTTGAATTAGGTATTGGGAACGGTGAACATGTAGAAAGGAAGCAAAAGAAGATCATCAACGTAGATACCAATGTCACAATATGTACTGTTGTAATAAGCCGGGCCTCCACATTAGACTCTATGTTATAAACGTACTCTTAAGCAATACGTAAATTATAAACGTAATCTCAATAGTACGAGGAACTTAAGTTTCCTAAATGTACTCTTAATAGTACGAGGAACTTGATTTTCCTAAATGTACCCTTAATAGTACGAGGAACTT